AGAATTGAACTGACTTGCAGTGATCTTTCTGGCATTGAGTCTATGTTTTCCAGAGCTGTGAGTGAAATTTTTATCTACATCTATCTTGATATCTACATGAATACCGCTTATTAATAGTGTGGGGTAAACCTGTGTCCGGGAGCTGAACAGCTGCCCTCTGACACATGGACTGGAACCAAAGGCACCTTGCAGAGCATCAGCCTAGCGGTGCTGGGAGGCACTCCGATGCCCTCTGTCATCAAAGTCAGCCCCACCTCCACAACGCTGGTCTGTACTGCATGACGTCAGCCTGCATACAGATTATTTTTCCCATGTTTTTCCTCTTAATCCTCCCTCCAGCTTTTCATCCAAAGAGCCAGCCATTCGCCAAGCTCTGGTCTCTCCACTCACACACAAACAATGTGCACAGAGATTAACACAAATCAGAATAACAATGAAATGATAAAAGAAAACAGCACTTACACATGATAACTGACTCATAATGTCCTCTGTAAACAACAGAAAGCAATCATTTAACTGAGGGAAAGCATATTTTGTAATGAGATTAAGGTTAGTGAAATGAGATACTGAGGAGTGATATCACTGTCCCTGCTCAGTTTAGGTTTGGCTGTGGACTATGGCTGCTTTTGCCCTACTTTAATGTGACAAACATACAAAGGACAATTCAACAGCTTGGCCTTTAAAAAGGGCTGTGCTCTATGAAGAGGTTGATATTCCATGGCTTGTGTTGTCTTTGCTGGAGGACATGAAGCTAGTTTTCCAGCCAAGATCTCCTTTTTTGTAAATTTCTCCCAGTACAGAAGGCAGAGCGTCACTCCACATTCAAACACATCAGCAGTAAGTTGAAAGACAAAAATTGTTCAGCTGCTGCTGCTACAATGTGCATTAGGAATGGAAACAAAAGCTGCTCTGAATGGGAAATACATGAAATTCACCTCATGTTAATACCCATCTTTGATCACAGAGCTCAGCTCTATATTCGGGACAACCACATCTGTCATCTGGCTAACAAGCTGCCAAACTTCAGGCCAAAATCCCTCCTGAAAGACAACGTGTATATGAAATTCCTTTAATCTCCCAAACATCAGGAACTTATTATGATCTTATAATAACCAAAACTTTAAAAATAACTAATTTCATATAAATAAATAATTTAATTTGCTTTCTTCACAGAGATTGACAAAATACATCTCAGTATTTTATTTTTAGTAGGACTTGCAACCCCCTGTGAAGCTTGGGTGACCCCAAGTGGGGGTCCTGACCAAGTTAGGAACAACTGTTCTAATATTCTCAGTACAGAGGTGGAATGAGGAACTGGTTAACCTAGCTTAGCGTAAAGACTGGGGCAGATATAAAAGTATTATTTTGGGGTGGCATGGGTTCGCAGCTGCCACCCCTAAAAAATGCCTGGCCACCACTGCTGCCATCCCAATTTGCTGTCAAATGCTGTCAGATTGAACACATTCATTTCAATTCTATACTAGCAACATTTAAGTAGGCTTAAGTTTATTGGCAAAACACATGTATTTATAGAGATTAGAATGAGAAATGTATTGATTTATAATCCCACATTTAGATATTTCTATTGAATGCTTTGTTGATGAGGCACAGTTATGTTTTTGAGTCAAAATGTCTTAATTTGAGGGGCAAATATTGATATATGTGATTAAATCAGCACATTTTTGAACTAATGAGGAATATTCAGGGGATCAACAATTTTTTCTTTCTTTTTCACCCAAAACCTCAAGTGTGAACCCCTATAGTGATTCTAGAAGAAATCATCTGAATCACACTTCATGACAAACAATAGCTGCGCTATTTCAGTCTGGACCAAAGTGGTGGACGAACCAACTAGCAGACAGACATTGCCGTCTTCAGAACCATGGCTTTAGTGTGGCAACAGTTTGTGGTCTTATAGAGGGTCTGCTGTGCTGGAACTATTTCTTGATAATATATATATCAGTGAGCAGCTGTGGGTGGCTGTGGCTCAGAGGTAGAGCGGGTCGTCCACTAATTGGAAGGTGGTTCGATCCCAGGCTCTTCTCGCTGCATGTCGAAGTATCCTTGAGCAAGATACTGAATCCCAAATTTGTGTATGAGTGTATATGATTGATTAGATTCCTTTCTTGTGAGCAGATGGCACCTTGCAGCCGTTGCCATCAGTGGATGGGTCAGTGTGGCATGTAGTGTACAGCACATTCAGTGGTCGAAAGACTAGAAAGGCGCTCTATAAGTACAGTCCATTTAACTGTAGGTGTATTAATATAAACAGTGTTGGAATTGCACACATTGAATGGAAAACTGAGACACCTACTTCATGTCACCCCTGCATAAGTCAGTGCCCCACTTGTGACATCCCAGTCAAAAAGTATGGAAACTCCCCTGTGTAACATAGCTTAGAAATTAAACACTTCTATGTAAAAAGTATGGGTATTATATCATTATGTATTTAAAAGGGTGAAACTGGACTGTAACTGAAAATTAACTGGAGCAAATAATGTGGCTTAATGTGGATTAATCAGTTAAACAATGAAATACAATTAAAAGCAAGGGCCCTCTAGAGGCCATGGTGTGTATATTCATAATACATCTATTTTTAATTATTAGACAGTACTTTTTGCTTTTCCTAGTTTTTTTTTGTAGTTGTAAAGTGCTGGACAGCACCTGGATACTGGCATTGTTGACTGTCAGTTCTCCATATGCTATCAGTGGAAAGGCTCCAGGCTGCCTCAACTATGTGGTTTCTAGCAGTGGGAGGAGAAACTCATTCATAATCCAAAATCTAGACAGAGGCTCCTAAGATCATAGACAGAAAATCTGTGAATTCTGCTTTGGGATTAACATCTATGCACTTTGTGGTTTGAACAGCCACAAGCGCCACAAGCATTTAATCATTTTTAAGTACAGATTACCTTGAGCAATATGGGTCAGAGTCAAACAATGGGCTTTTTATCCCGGAGAGGAAAAATCTCCAAACAGCATTACATAATTTACTAGATGCTCCTGCTCTGAAGACACATCACCAGGCTGCAGAAACATATGAATTCCATTTGATACAAAATGCATATTTTTTTGCTTTTGGTTATGAGCAGGAGATATGAGAATAGCCCCCGGCTGCTTGATTTGTAGTAACATTACATTAATGCACATTTTCCAAAGCAGAGCAAATGTTTTCAGGTTTTTGATGAGCCACTGGTTTCCATTCACTTCATCATGGCCAGATTAACCCGTTAATGAGCCCTGAGACAAAAGTCCTCCTCCAACCTTAATGCAACTCTGTAACCAAACAGCAATGTGGATATTGGATGATTCTGCAAAACCCTGGATTATAATTTATGACAACATTTTTAAAGGTCCAATGTGTAATATTTAGGAGAATCTATTGGCAGAAATGGAATATAATATTCAGAGGAATGTTTTCATTAGCGTTTAATCACCTGGATATTGACGGTTCGATCCCCGGCTCCTCCTGCTGCGTGTCCTTAAGCAAGATACTAAACCCCAAATTTGCTCCTGCATCGGTGTGTGAATGTGGTTGAATGTTAGTTTCTGTTTGTGATGGCCTTTGCCATTCACTGTATGAATGTGTGTAAATGGGTGAATTTGGCATATAGTGTAAAAGCATTTTGAGTGGTCGGAAGACTAGAAAGGTAAGTCCATTTGCCATATAAAAATTCTTGTCTTTTTGTTACTTCAGAATAGTTGAAATTCTTTTTTTCCAATTAAACGTTTATTATACATTTAATTGATGTGTGTATGAATCATTACAGGCACTATTTATAAGTCAAGAACTTAGGCACCTCTAGATTGAGACTCAATTAATTTGGCTATAATTCCCCTTTTTGAAGGGTGGTGCCATATACAACACTAAAAATCTAAATGTCTATATACCAGACCTATGCTATTTTTTTGAGTTATGTACTACTGTGGTTTTAAAAAATGCAACTGCACCACTAAATGTCACTAAATTCTACACACTGGACTTTTAATTACTCCCTGTAGAAAGTAATTTGTTACACTGCCTGTTACACAGTATTAGGTAATAATGCACAACCCACTGTAGTTGATTTTGTACCTCAATCTTTTCGGATTCCTTAGGAAATTCACAATGAATCAAATTAGCAAAAAACAATTGTCACACAGCAAACCTGGAGCTGCTTTGGCCCCTAAGGTCTGAGCCCTGTAGCAGTTGTCCATTAATCCGGCACTGCATTAAACTATAATATGAAGATCTACTGCAGATTACCCTTACTTCAACTATATAATCCATCACAGTGTGCATCATGTCTGCCTTTACAGTGTCACATTTATTATTTGTAGTAATACATTTATCCACTGCCAACTAAGTAACACACGGTAACTATGACAACTGTGAATATCACTGTGATGGGTTACACAACTCAAGCCAGTTTCAAGTCTGTGCAAATTCAGAAATTAGATTTTCATACTGAATGGAAACCTGTGGCAAAAAAACCTACAAGATGCTTTTCATTATCAGCAGATAAGATTTTCTCAGTTGCTGATGTGACCTTAGACATAGGATCTATAGAATTTCCACCACATTACACAACTCTTGTTCCATGCTAGGGTTAGGTGATGAAACTGCAAGGCTCACCAGAACGGAAACTAAGCATTCACACACAGTCATACAGTCATATGGCCAAACACAAATTGGGGCTCAGTATCTTTCTCAAGGACACCTTGACATGCAGCTGGGGATCGAAACACCGACCTTCCGATTTTTGGACGACCCACTTTACCTCTGAGCCACATGAAAAGACCTGGAAAAAGCCAGTGAGTGGACTTGCAGTTAAGATTAACATTCTACATTTTTACTATACAAAGGTAAAAAATTATCAAAATGATTTGTAATAAATTGGTTAAGAAAATACCCAACTGGTATGTTCCGTATAACACACACATACACACACACACACACACACACACACACACACACACACACACACACACAGACACACACACATTTCTACATTACCAACCTCAGCCTGCACGGCCCAAGAGGGGGGGACCTCTATTTCTGGTCATTAAAAAAAAAAAAAAAGAAATAAGAAATTGCCAAAATGGGACTCTACCTCAAACCTCAAATATTTTTTCTTTCAAAATTTGATAATTTAACTGTAATATTTTCAATACTTAAACATTCCTCTGTGATACAAATATAACAAAAATAATCATGGCTACTTTATTTGAGAATAAATAATTATTTACATGCATTTGTAAAGAATGCAAAGAACACATGCAAGAAGTAACTTTGGCTTCATGCTTGAATATGAAGGCCTGCAGTGATTTTGAATTGTGTTGATTAAACTTTGTTGTGGCTGTTTGCACATCTTCAGGGCATTCATTTTAAACTAATTCATGAATATAGCAAGGTCAGATTAAAGATACTTATTTATTCTTTTCAAATAAGGATAATTTGCAGTCCTAATTTGCTCCTCTGTCTTTATTCATCCATAATTGTGTATTAATGCTGCTTCTATCAGTCTTAACAGTACAAGAGGGGACCTTCTAAGAAAATACATACACACATGCACACACCATTTGATTGACTTCCAGTATAAGTAATGAGTTGGTCTTAGTCAAGCATGAAAAAGTTCATCACACTACTGATAAGAATGATCACCACAAGTGAACACCTTATAGACCACATTGCAAAAATCTCTATTTTACCAAGAAATTTCTGTCTAAAAAAACCTTTCGTAAAACCAGAGAAAAAGTTCTACGAGTGCAGTGATTACATTTCAACCAGTTTCAAATAGAAATCAACTTGTTTGTTAAGAATGAGCGTTTGTGTCTTGGAACAAGAAAGAATAAAGCCAGTTAAAACACTACAACTAACAAAAATCAAATGTGATTATTGATTAGAGGTTGAAACATTTGCATTGGGCAAAATAGTCAATAATCAATAAGGCAGACATCAACAATGCCAAACAAAGAATCATAAAAGCAAGCACATCTCCCCCCCCCCAAAAAAAACTGGCCTACTCTTCTCCTTATTCCCACAGAGCAGAAGTCTGAGAGAAGCTGCTGTTGCCAGTCATGTCCACTTACCAGCTGTTATATTGAGAGTGAGAGCAGAGAAAAGGAGACAGCAGAAGGTGAGAGGACCAGTCATCCTGCTGGGTGCTGCTTCTCAGACCAAACAATGCTCCATCTGTCATCAGAGCAGAGGACGACGGCAGTGTTTGATCTCCCATCCTTCACACTGAGGCTGCCTCACTCTGCCGCTCGGGTTTATAGTCAGAGGATTACAGCTGCTCTCTCTCTCTCACTCTCTCTCTCTGCGCCGCTAACTGTACTTTTTTCTCTCGTTCTCTTTAGCCTGGTGTCTTTGTTTCTCCATCTCCACTTCTCTCTTTTTTGTCTCTTTTACCTCCCTTGTTTCTCTCTCTCTTTAAAGTTTGTTTCATTGTGTGTGAGAGAGCTGCACTCTTCATTAGAGTTCACAATATTGAATAAATAATAAATAAATTATTTGGTCAGTATTGCAACCAAATAATAATATTGCTTTTCCTGCATTGACCAACCTCCATCACCCTGTAGTGCAGGGGTCTCAAACTGCTGCCCCGGGGGACATTTCTCGCCCTCCACCCCCTTCCCTCCAGCTTATGACATGATGTCACAGCAAAATTATCAATATTTCTTTTCTAGTTTTATATCAATTTAAATTACTCCTTCATATACTATACATACTCGAAAACTCATGAAACGCGGCGCACATGTTTGTCGCACATTCAAAAAACTTATATCCACGCGTTCAGTGAATGAAGCTGAATCTACTCATATAAGTCCACTTCCGCCTAAAAATGTTTTCTGCTAGAGTGCAAAATGTCCATAAACTACTTTTTCGTGTTCCTCCTATGCGCATTGTCCGATTCACACAAAATGTTTCATGTAGCATCTGGGGACCATCCTGACAAAAAAAGTACTTGGAAGAATTTTGATATTTCAAAAAATAAGCATGTTATAAGGACTTCCTGTAGATTTTTCGTCAAAAAAGGAAGTGGACCATTTCTCGACATTGGTATGTCCGATTGACGCCAAGCTTGAGTCCATAGTTCCCCATGTCTTCCTTAGGCATCGTGCGCAATTTCAGGCCATGCCACAAGGTGGCGCTCTTTAAAAAGAACCAGTTTATATCTCTATCTATATATCTATATCAGCACGTGTGATTAAAACGAAACTTGGTACGATGCTTGCCCATGGCTCCCTGAGGCTCGCTAAAAAATGTGTCAACAATCTGCCTCTAGGTGGCGCTCTGGTGGCAGGTTATATAACTGTGCAGAGACCGTAATACTTATGAACATGAATTCACAGGGCCTACAGAAAAGCCTTTTGGACCCATACCCCCAAGCCCACGGGAAGTCAGCCATTTTGATTTTGATTTTCACTTTTGCCGAACTTTTCACATTGTATTTGAACATACCATGAGATTTGAACATACCAGAGTTCTGAAATTCCTAAGATGGCGCCCCTGTTTTTGGGGGACCCTCCCCTGCTGAAAGTGCTCTTTTTTCTGTATCTGCTGTTTGTTTACGGAGTGTGTCACCGCTGCAGGTGTATGATCGCCTGACACTTCTTAATATTCGTGAATCTCTGGAAAACTGCCAATTTGGGCTTTGCTGGACACTCAAAGACGCTTCCGCCTTCCCGGGGGTTTACTCTACGGCGTCTTCCTGCTGGTTACCTCGTAAAAGCGCGGGAAGCGGGGGGAGTCCTCATTAAACTGAAAATGTCTCTGGCTTCCTCCCTCCACGATCCCTGTCGTCTACGCTGGATCCTTCACAGACTACAGTGGCTACGATTTGCGGAGTTCCACGGAGTACAGTATCGGTGGCTCCGGCCGGTTCTTCGGACACCGGGGCACTGCCCCGTGTTGTCGGCCAGTGCGGATCTCCCAGCGGGGCTGTGTGCCGGGAAATCTTCGCGCTCAGTCGCTTCTCTTGCCAGACTGACCGATGCTCAGTTCACACGGCCCTGATAAATACCAGATCTCTTACAATAAGACATTTATTTTAAATGACTTTTTACAACACATGATCTGGATTTCCTCCTGTTGACAGAGACCTGGTTGAAACCAGGTGAGGTTTTCGGAGCTCCTCCCTCCCGGCTGTTCTTTCAGCACCCCGCGAGCTGCCGGTGCGGGGCGGTCTGGCCGCTATTTAGGGAGCTTCGTGCCGGATGATAACCGCTAATAATTACTCCGCCGATTGCAGCTGCTCGTGATCGACTTTACCTGCCCTGTGCTGTGTGCACAGTTTATCGCCCACCCAGATTTAATAAGGACTTTCTCCAAGAGTTCTCTGAGTTTTGTCTGAGTTTATCCCAAAGTTTGATAAACTGTTGATCTGTGGAGACTTTAATATTCATGTTTGTTGTGCAGCAAATCAACTGGCCAATGAATTCAAGGCCTTCTAGGTTCTTTTGATCTCATTCAATCTGTTAATGCACCAACACATGGCATGGGCACCTCTTGACCTTGTCATTTCTCATGGGCTTTCAGTTTCCTCAGAGAAATAATCGACACTGCTATCTCGGATCACCTCCTGTTGTTTTGACTTTGCTGCCCCCACCTGCCAATAAGCGTTCCCCAGCGCAGACGCCGCATCTTTACTCCATCACGGCTGAGGGTTTGCTGCTGCCTTCAGAAACTCTCAGTGCTTGATGACTGTGGGCTGGTTCCCCACTTTGTCCGGACAGCCTACTCCCACTTTCTATTCAACATGTTCTGCGATTCTTGACTCTGTTGCCCTTTTCGCATAAAACTACCAAACCAAGTCGATCCCTGGTTAATGATCACACCCGTCTGCTCAGACAACAATGCAGACAGGCTGAACGGCGGTGGAAAAGGATAAACTACATGTATCCCTGGGCTGGTTAAGGGACAGTTTGGCTGCCTATCAGGGCTCTAAAGGAAGCCAAGTCAAATATTTGTCTTCCATTATAGCTACAGTCTCATCATCCAAGACTGCTATTTAATACTATTGATTCTGTCGTTAATCCACGCCCTACTGTCCTGTCTGATGCCTCCACTGCAACCTGTGAAGAGTTTGTGTTTTTTTCACTGATAAAGTGGCATCGTCAGGCAGATATCTGTAATATGAATATGTTCTTGATGATGTCTGTGCTCCTCCGGCACAGACTGCTGCCTTCGGCGGTTTGAGACCATTTTCTGTCTCTTTACTAAGGTGGTTAGTGGCATGAAACCCACAAACTGTCCCTTAGATATTATTCCAGCCAAGTTTTTGAAGGAGGTTCTGAGTTCTGTTGGGTCAAGTCTGCTTGTTTTTATAAACACTTGTCTTAGCTCAGGGTCTGTTCCAGCTGCCTTCAAACACGCTATGGTTAGGCCCCTCCTAAAAAACCGCATCTTGACCCCTCTGTGCTCTCCAATTTTAGACCTGTCTCCCACTTGCCTTTTTTTCCAAGGTTTTAGAAAAGTTGTTTTTATTCAATTACAGACATTTTTGGAGATCAATTCTATTCTTGATAAATTTCGTCTGGTTTTAGATCCCGACATAGCACCGAGTCAGCACTGTTAAGGTGCACAATGATATTGCCTTGTCTGTGGATGCTGGGAATCCTGCTGTGCTTGTGCTGCTGGACCTCCGCAGCCTTTGTCAGTCGACCATGCAGTCCTTGTATCTCGCTTAGGCAGACGTTGGCATCCGTGGCACCGTCTCCAGTGGTTTAGGTCATACCTGGCAAACAGGAGTTTCTCTGTCTCAATTGGTGACCACTGCTCCTCAAATGCATCGCTGCCCTGTGGGGTGCCACAGGGATCTATTCTCGGCCCTATTCTGTTTTCATTGTATATGCTACCTCTGGGATCATTATAAAAACACAACCTGTCTTTTCACTTTTATGCCGATGATTTGCAGATATATTTGCCCATGACACCAAACGAAAACACTGCACTTACTAAACTGCTGGACTGCATCACAGATATAAACAGTGGCTGTCACAGAACTTTTGCACCTAAATGACAGCAAACTGAATGCATTTTGTTTGGTTCACCAGCTAAGTCGAATGCTCTCACCACAAATTCTGGCACTCTGGCCCCTTTTTAAATCACATGTCAAAATCTTGGGGTAACTTTGATACTGGGCTCAAATTTGACAAACAGATTAGCTGGTTGTCGTACGGTTTTTCAGCTCCGTCTTTGGCCAAGTGAGTCTTTTTCAGTGGCAGGATCTTGGAAGGCAATCCATGCTTTTATCAGCTCAAGACTGGACTACTGTAATGCCCTTTACGTCGGCCTCAGTCAGTCCTCATTCTCGTTCCAACTTGTGCGACGCTGCAGCCCGTTTTTAACTAACACGTCCGAGCGAACATTTACTCCTGTGCTGTGTCACCCACTGGCTTCCAGTCCGTTTTGAATTGATTTTAAACTTTTGTTGTTTGTTTTTAACACCATTACGGCTCGGCCCCTCTTACTTGTCAGAGATTTTAACTTTTCGATTGTGGCAGAGCCTTGCGCTCTTCAGGTCGCTTCTGTTAGAAGTCCCTAGGTCCGACTTAAACAGTGGGGCGATCGTTTTTGCTGTCGCTGCTCCTAGACTGTGGAACAAACTGCCCCCTGACATTCGTACCACTACTGATCTCGGCCTTTTTAAATCGAAGCTTAAGACCCACTTTTTAGATTAGCTTTTAATTCTGAATAGGACAGTACTGTCTCTTAGGTGTACTTTTTTCTGTCCTTTCTGTGCATTTCTGGAAGGCTTTTAATACCTGCAGTGCTGCGCACTTTAAATTGTATTTGTATGTTATATATGTGTTATGTACTGTTTCATGGCTCTGTTGTAAAGCACTTTGGGTACCTTTCGGCTATTGTAAAGGGCTATACAAATAAACTTGATTTGATTTGATTTGATACTCCTCATATGGGACTTATCGAATCTACTTCAAACTTGGACGGTACAGTCAAAAAACATTACTGATTAAAATGTGTGCTATTTGTGCATGTACGTTGTGTTGTGTTCTTAATTTGAGAAAGGACCTTAAAGGTAGTGTTGTCTTCAACTTCTTTTATTTGAGAGAATAAGTAAATAACACAGCTGTGGGTCCAATCTGCTTCACTTGAAAGGGCAGCAGGATCAGGCACCATGAGCACAGTCTGCTCCCTCTTTTTATGAGTTTGTTATTTGTCATCCTTTTCTGATTAGTACATGCGTCACTATTTTTATTGGTCCTTATTTTGGCAGAGGCGGTTTCTTTGTATAATTCTGCAATGACCACTGTCCACACTCTGCCAATCACCTCCCAGGCTTGAGGTACTAAAATTTGATCAAAAGGGACAAAGGGTGCGCTTACTTACAGTGGGTGCTACACCAGCTTATTGATTAATGAATTTAATTTTGAGTAAAAGACCAAGGATCAATGTGTTTCTCATTAGAGAGACTATTCTAAAACCTGCAGACAAAGGTCACCAAGATAAACAGGAAGGACCTGTGATTGTGTCAACAGAGTATTTCCCTGCACAATGCCTGTTTTTTTCCACAACCAGTATAACAAACCCTTTGCACATGTTTTATTGTACAAATATCACACAGTTGAAGGGCGTGTCCGCGGCGTTGTGTCGAAGTCAGCCTTTTTTAATTTTTAGTCATTTTTGGCAATTTTTCATGTTTTATTTGAACGAATTCCGCCTAGGGAATATATTGGATACATTTCAAAATTCAAATTGGTCAGTACGATCAAAACAAACTGTAGATGAAAAGTTGCGCTATTTGTGACTGTACGACGAACCGCGTTAAAGTGACGACAAATTGCTCCCGATGCTGTGCATATGTGTGTGAAAGGGCGAATGTGGCATTTAGTACAAAAGCGCTTTGAGTGGTCGGAGGACTAGAAAAGCGCTATACAAGTACAGGTCCACTTACCACTTACCATTCTTCATGTTCATCATCACCATCAGTCACTACTATTAGTGTAGTTGTTGCTACTGTTGTTGCTGTGCACCTTTGTCTCTGTCCCTCTGTCTTTACCTCTCTCTCTCTCTCTCACCCCAACTGGTCGAGGCAGACGGCCACCCAACTAGAGCCAGGGTCTGTCCAAGGTTTCCACCTCTTAAAAGGAAGTTTTTCCTTGCTGCCGTCGCCAAGTGCTTGCTCATTATGGGAACTGTTGGGTGTCTGTAAATCATTTTGTAAATACAGTCTAGACCTGCTCTATTCGAAAAGTGTCCTGAGATAACTTTTGTTATGAATTGGCTGAAATCACACAGTAATGTACTGCATAAGTTAAACATGCTGCAGACGGAGATTCTAAACTCTGAAAACCGTTTTTTTAAAACTGCAAATATTAAAAATCCACACAGTTGGTTTCTCAAATATTCTCAGAATATTTAATGATGAAATAAGACTGTAGCACAGTAAAAAAAAGAACTGGCTAAGATGGGCCAACATCGCAGTTCGCAATTGACAAGTTTAAAGAGACGCGATGCATTTTAGGGGGACTGAGTATGTACAGTACTCACACCCCTTACTCAGAAGTTTTGGCCATTTCTCACATACACAAAATTCACACACTATGCAGTTCAAACACACTACTCAATTTAGCGTCATACTTTGTATGAATAGTAAAGTAGAATGTTGTTTCAAACATTGTTAGTGATAATTCAGAAAAAGGAGAATAATCATATTTCCAAAAATGTTATAGTATTCCTTTAAATGCATATGGAATTAGAATAATCCAGCCTGTTTGATAAAAACATGGCATGTTTATGGGTCAGCTTGTCACATCTGTTTCTGAAAAACGATAGTTAAAAAAAGCCTTAGTAAATCTAGCCCTGAGAGTTTGGCACAATGCAATGGGGAGCATTGCAAACTGGGCCCAATCTGAAAAGTTGATACAGTTTAATGTCATTCTGGATGATCACATCTGGACAAAGAGCTGGAAAAAGTTGTTCTTCATGATGTCCAACATTATTGAATTATATAAAGTTACCATTTATGTTATGCGCCTGTCACAACCAAACCACATTAGGGCTGCAGTAGGTAACTTTTAGAAAAATAAGTTTTTGGCATATTTGCTGAAATTTTCACTACAGTAGTACATGAGACAGATAATCTTTGAAAAAATCAGGTTCCCCCTGGATTTCTTTTTTTTGTTTCTTTGCCAGTAATTTTAATTAGAGACATTTTGTAGAACAGGGGAACCAGTGATTACAAAAAAAAATGATTCCATTATTGTTCTACATGCTACACAATTCACCATGCTTGCCTGGAAAAAATACATCAAAACTCACATTAACTTAACTTTTAATATACCTTTCTCTTGCCTCAATGCAAAGTTTTACATTACATACCATTACATTACGTTCTTAAAACCATAAAACAATTTCTCCACTAGAGACATACTTCACCTATAAATAAAGGACAAAAGAAATAAATGATATTAATTAATTATTTTGGACAATATTGGTGGAAAATGGAAAGACTGAACTTCTTTTAGAACACAACAGAACAATGTGCATACTACCATTAAACAAAGGAACACTTACACACCCATATAGTGCTGATATGAAAATAGAAGTGTGTCCACCTCCTCAATTTTCAATAACCCCACTGAAATAACACATGGTGATAAAATAAATATCGCATATCTGCTAGAAATAAATGATGTTTACTGAATAGAGCAGCAGGCGAGGAGATCTGTACCACTTGGTGACCAGGCCTTCAGAGAGAGGACCCTTGTAAGAGTAGTGGGGGTCCATGAAACGGACCAGCCCAAAGTCCCTGATTTTCAGTACCAGATCCTCTGTGTTGACAAACAGGTTGACAGGCTTGAGGTCACGGTGTAGCACATTTGCAGAGTTGATGTGCTTAAGAAGCTGATGAGCCATGGCCCTTCTCCAGCAGCTGACACAGGTCTGTCTCCATGTACTCCTCTATGATGTAGACTGAGTTGACCTCTGTTAGGGACACCCTATCCTCTGTTAGGCTGCGACCATTTGGGCCCAATGTTTCAAATACCTTGACAATATTGTCATGGTCGAGGCGTCTGATGATCTTGATTTCCCGCAAGGCATGGTTCATACTCTGGGGGTCTGTCAAGATAATTTTCTACACAGCTACGCACTTGTAGCAGTCAGTGTCAACTGCAAAGAACACAAGGCTATTCCCTCCATGTAGCGAGTGCCCAGGTCAAAGCCATGGATGTTCATCAGTGACTCAAACTTCTCTGTTTTTTACGCCAAGCTTCTGCTGTCTCTAATGTTTGGCCTAGTGGATTCTTGTAAATACCCTTGGGAGCAGTAGGAGGAGCCAGAAAAACTTTTTTTTCACAGATTATCTGTCTCATGTAGTACGGTCAGAATATAGTGAAAGGTTCAGCAAATATGACAAAAGATATGATTATAAAAATGACCTACTTCAGCTTTAAGTCATTAAGTGGAACACCAGAAAACCATGAACATGTCAGAGGTGGTCCTTGGCTCATTTGAGTCCACTCATGTGTCCAGAAGCACAATCACTGAGTCAAGTGACATGCTTGTCTGTCATTGGCTGAGAGTAAGAGGGAGCTGCCACACCAGCAGTGTGTTTTCAGTGGAGTCTGAGCAGGTGTCTGCTGTGGTCTGTCCTATCCTGCGGTGTCCTCTGCCACCGGAGACGATGGCTGTTGAAGTGACTTTGCTGCGCCTGGCCTCCCCCTCCTTCCCCAGCTCCACGGGCCGTCCCCTCACCCACACGTCGGGGTCCTCACTCACTTCATAGATGGAACCATCCTCTGGGCTGTGCTCCAGGGAGTCTGTGGGGGCTCTTGGGTTCCCCTGCTCGGGCTGTGCTGACAGCAGCTTCCCAGGAAGCTGGCAGGTGGAGTGGAGGCGGTACTGCAGCAGGAGACGCTTGGGCTTCTCCTCCCTTGATGGAGGAACTTCTGTGTCCTGGTGGTAACTGCTCTGCTCCAACCTGTGAACTCCTCCATCATCAGCTTTACTTTCCTCACTGCCATTGAGGATTGAGTCCCGTCTGAGCAAGTCGGAGGCCAGGGTGCTGGAGGTCGACACCAGGAAGTCCACGGGACCACAGTGAGCATTCAGCGATGACATGCCCTTACCTGAGGGGCACATTGAGTCCACATTGTCATCTTATTTTCAGGGCAATATTGGATCAACTAGCAGGTCTTTGAAGTATTAGAGCAACAGCTAGAACAGCTAGATCTCAAAGACTTCATTAATTTATTTATTTTTTAATATTTATAGACCATTATTACATCAATGGTTTTAAAATCAAGCAGTGGAAGTTAATTCGCTGCCTTAATGACACACACACTCCTAATGAATTACTTGATGCAGAAAGTAAGTAAGTAAGTAAGTAAAGCTTTATTTATATAGCACCTTTTTGACACAGAGATCCAAAGAGAGACGACACATGAGAAAACAAACAAGGAGATCTATAAAAAGGCCTTTAGATGTGGGCCGCTTAAACAGTCCACAGATTCAGTGAATCAGAGTGATTGAAGAAGACTATTCCATAATGTTGGGGCTAAAACAGCAAAGGCACGGTCACTTTTAGTTTTGCAGTTAGTGCGGGGAATGGATAAAAAAAAGCGAGTTCTATCTTACACTGTATGTAGGTCCAGGTGCAGGTAACAGATTCCAAAACTTTGTTTGAATGGAAAATGCAATGTTTTGACCCTGCTCAGGCAAATGGCAAAACATAACAAAGAGTGAAGTATACAGTATACTCTGTATAGGCACAAAATCAAATACCTTTCTAATAATGCAATCCAACTACTGAAATGAAAAAGTATACAATAGCTGCAATACGACCCTGAAAATGTATCATCAAAAGTTTAAATAGTTGCAGTTTTGCAACGTGTCACCCCAAATACTTGATGATGTCTAACACTGTCCCTCCACTGACTACCTCCACCACAGCTCCATGTTTGTATTCTCCAAGTGACTCCCTTCAGTGCAGGACTGTGAAGAATATAGATCTAGAGAGACGTAATGTTCACACTGAGGTTGCATTGCTAAAAATCAGACCTGTATCTGATTTTGGACAACATATGAAAGAGGGCCAGACATATAATGTTGACCACATAATATGTCTTGATTTCATGCCTCCCGGGATGTTAAATTGCCCAGTCACAGGGAACATGCAGTCAGGAGGTGAGCGGGGGGCTGATCACACAGAGACACAAACACGTTGCCTGAAAAAAAATATTGTTTTCCTATGGCCTGGTGTGTGCTCTTCTCTTGCACCGGTTTTTAGACATACATAAAAGTTTTAATATTTTCAACTTTTCAGCACAAGGCACTAAGAGTCAGCGTCAATGTCAGTCCCAGATCAGCCAATCAAGTAAGAGGTAGACTTTACTACTTTACCACATCCTTCCTGTTTTGATGCCAGTTTCATCATATAGAGATGAACATCTGCTTAAGTAAATTTTTTCTGTTAATATAGGCGCACCAGCTATTTTTCCCCCCAATGCTCTTTGCTAAGGAGTTTTTGAAGTGACCGCCCCTGAAGCAACGCATCTCTGTGTGATTGGCCCCTAGGAGAGTGTAGGATCAAAGGAGACCTTAACTGGACTTTTATTGTGACGGGTCACTTCCTGGCACTTCGGCAGTGCACAGGAGGTGAAACTGGCACCTCTCCAGCTACCAGTTCACACTCCATATTGTGGTCTGTGGTACCCTCCGGTTCCCAAGCCAAGTCCCTACACACTGAGCTACCCTAAGATAAGAGCTTGCTTTTTCCTGTGATCCCTGGTCAGCGCACCACTAATGGGAGTCAACATCTGCAGCTTTAAAGAGGAAGTCTGCCAGCTGACTTTTTCGAGCAACGTGACGTTAATGCTGAGTCGTTAACTTTGCAAAGCAACAAACAAAACGCCTTTCCTCCTGCAACCTACACCAGCGGACACCGCACAGCAGAGACTGTTTGGACCCCAGAACTGCATCTCTTTCCAGCCTGGCTCACAGGACCACCAGCTGATCTACACAGCTCACCGGCAACTCTTCTTTTTCTTCTTCCTCCCTCCATTGTTACCACTGTCGGTAACGTACTGGGCATAGACAGATAACTTAACGGAGTTAACAGCTAAGCAAGGACTGTTTAATTACTGTAAAGGTTACTGATGTGTTTTATTCAGGTTATTGTGGTTATTTTATTGTGTTGTTTAACGCAGGTTTCTGTAGCAACTAGTCTCTGAGACAGGTGCTAAGGTGATGTTAGTTTAATGTTATGCTTCACACAGACACCGTCTTTGCATGCAACCAACTCCCTTTTAACGGCACCGTTAATCTACGATCACATGCACACATATTCGGCCTAAACCTCAGCACACACGAGGAGAGGGAAATCAAACCCTCCAGCTCTTCCGTGCTCTTTGTCTCTCACCAACACATGTATCATGCTCAGCTGAAACATCTGGTCAGAGGACAAAGGACACGCACCTTTTCTGGCGCGCAACCCCCCATGCTCACACACACACAGACACACCGTTTTCCTCTAACTTAGTTCCCTAACGTTTTATACCTGCTGGTTTTTTCGTACAAGAGTAGGTGATACCAACCGGCTGGGGCGGCTGTGGCTCAGAGGCAGAGCGGGTGGTCCACTAATCAGAAGGTTGTTGGTTTGATCCCCAGCTCCTCCCGCCACATGTCGAAGTATCCTTGAGCAAGATACTGAACCCCAAATTGCTGTGCATCAGTGTATGAATGTTTATGAATGCATTACTTTCTGATCGATGGCCATCACTGAGTGAATGTGTGTGAAAGGGTGAATGTGGCACATAGTGTAAAAGCGCTTTGAGTGGTCGGAAGACTAGAAAGTTGCTATACAAGTACAGGTCCATTTACCAACCTCTTCTATGCAGAACTCCAAAGCCTTCCACAACTATTAATAGTGATTTTGGTTGTAGTTTCTAAATTAATAGTTCAGTGTTTTTTTTTATGAGACTGATCAATCAATTATTGGCTAACGTTTCCCTTATTTAAGGGTGGTGCCCCAAGGATCTTTAACCCCTATAGGGCACTCATTGAAATACTTGGAAATTAAAAATTTCAACCCTGGAGTGTTATTGGTGGATATAAGAAGACATTTTTCCTTTTTTGATTTTTAAAAAAAGTTTCAGTTTTAGGCTGAAAATCAAAGTCAATGATGTCTAGGTGGGCTGGCACAACAACAGTCTGTGGCACAGCAGGTCTCCTCTTCCCATAGAAGGACTGAGCAGACAACTAGTACATTGTGGTGAAATTGATTTATTCATCAAATGAAAGAATTTGAGAATATTGATTATTAAACCCTCATATTAGTTACCTTAAGAGTCTGTTGTTGCTGCTAGCTATTCTGAGCTAGACCTACACTGTAGGAAAAATATGAATTTGTTTCAGCATTCGAATCAGACATATTCAATGCAACCTAGTCAAACTAGTCTAAAATTAGCTGTAAATTAAAGTGCTCCTCCTTTTTATTTAGACACAGCTGTGCCACCGACCCTGTGATAAACAGAGCTTGTACCCGACTGATTCTGCCATGCATTTCAGTCCAAGTAAAGAAGTAGAGCCTGAGACAGAGCCAAAGCATGCAACCAGCCCAGTGAAAAATTAAAGTTACCTCCCTAGCTGTTACTACCACGTGTTACAGCCTCTGCTATTTAGGAGACCTGCACTCAACAGAGTTAGAACCCAGTTCACACAATGAGGAATAGTTAGGGCTTAGATTAGCAAATGTGACTCTGGCTTTTCTGATTCAAACTCCTCCCCTAGCGAGAGGTTAGCTTCCTCTCCCGTAACAAGATGGGACCAGTACCCAACCGACCCTGAGTCCTTGGGAAGAAAGTCAGTTCCTCAACCTCCACAGAGAGACAGAAGGAATAACTACCTAACTTCCTAACCCCCCAAATCAGACATTGAAGTGATACGTAGCATATCTTGGAGCAGATATTCAGCCCCTGCCTGTCAACCAAAGGGAACTTCAGCAAGTGACACACATGTCTGCAGTCAAGCTAGCTTAGCCTCGCTTTCCCCAGGATAGAACTCACAGTGTCCATGCCTTGAAGCGCTTGAGCTTATGGAACCTTTTGATCCAAACAACTGGAATCACCATATCGAAGATTATTTTAGGGAGTTAGATAACAATCTAATTGACTTAGAAATTGACTCTCCCACCCAGAGGGAGAAAGTCTCAACCTCCTAGTGTCAGAAATGACTACACCGAGCTCTGTCAAGCCCTGACACAAGAGTTCTCTTCTCCTGCTGATGAGACCTCAGCAATGGTTGCAGTCTCCTTAATTAAACATTCCCGACATGAAAATCAAATGTCTAAAGCATGTGTACTTCCAGGGTAAGAATGCACCAGGCTTAGAAGACAACAGGTCTTCTAGGTCCTTGTTTTTGCAGAACCTGCATCCATGTGTATGCACACGTCGTACTGAGGACACAGCATGATAAGCCCCTTAATGCCCGACATTAGGAAGATAACACAGGTGGTTTGGGAAACTGTTGCTGCTTGCAAAACAAGCATCACAACAAAGGAACTGGCCAACTTAAATGTTAAAGCGTCACACAAACCTACTGCCCCAAAACATCACCCTCACATAAGCTTGAAGGGGGGTGACAAACAACAGTATAGGGACACCGAACGCAACCACCGTGCCCACCAACTGCGACGAGATAGGCATTCTCAAAGCAGAAGCTGTAGAAAGCCATACTCAGATATGCAGCCCCATATCTGAGTATGGCTGACAGTGACTCTGAATGTCTCTCTGCCTCTGGCTACCAGGAGTGTTACAGCCTTGTGCCACAAGTTAGGAAAAGCTTTAGGCATAAGAACAAAAGAGCTCGCTCACATTCATGATGACACAGTCCATCCCTGTACTGACAGTAAGCTAACCCAGCGTACCTTTTTCTGCAGTTCTATAGGCAAACTCAAAAAAACTCAGTACAGTATTCCAAAACTCAGTAATAACCCTCAGTAGCAAAAACTTCATTTTTGATAAAATTATTACTATTAGAGACAAAATTAATAACCAAATGCCCTCAACAGGTATCGCTAGGGTTAGTTCAGGAACTCCAAGTTCAGGAACTTTAACAAATGTAAAATCAC